CACGGCGGCCCAGCCGCGGGGGGCGGGGGGAGTGGCGGTACGGCGGGCGGCGGGGGACACGGCGCTGCGCTCCGCGGAGGCGGAATGGCGACGTTTCTGGCACGCCCCCGACATCTGTCTTATTTCCGTGCAAAATAAACGTGGATTTTGTTGTGCTGAGCTGTTCAGCCTGCTGAGCCTGGGCAGCGACAGTGGTCAACGGGCCCGTGGGTTGAGGTGATGGGMATGCGGTGACTCTCTGGAGTTACTAAGTTTGGGTAGTTCTAATATTTGTTCGTGACAAGCCGGCACTGCCGTTACTGAAGTATGTGCCGGTATCCAGTGCCTAGGGTAAACCCACAGTAAGATCCCAGCTCTGGTGGTTGTCACGCACCTGAGTTACAGCCCTCTCAGGATGCTCCCAGAAATAGCTGGATCGCTCAGCATGACGTCTGAAAAACGTGTCCTCCACAACCAGACAAGTCTGTTAAAAGTTACCGAGAAGCAGGGCTGCCGTCACCTCCAAAGGCACTCGGCACTGACAGCACCACTCGCTCAGCCGGGTGCCTTACCTGCAGTTCRCCTCCTTACTGGTGACCCGGTCAAGCAGCCAGCTAGAAACGTGACTTACTGCACTGGCCAGCAGCTAGTAAGCTCGTAAAGAGGCGGTGTTCAAAAATGYGTCACACCAAGAGCCCCAGGAAAGGCATTTGTAAATTGTAAATCAGCAACAATAAATGCCCTCAGTTGGAGATGAAGGTGGGAATAGTCAGGACCCTCCAGCAAACCCYGTGTGCTCGGAGCTGGGTGGTGCTTCCAGGGCCGACGTGCCCGGCTCCGCGGGGACTGTGGCCTTCAGCCGGCAGCTCCCGGCCACCTCGGGCCTCCCCATGCGGCTCTCTGGGGACGGAAAATGACAGAGCGGCGTTTGCAGCCGCTGCGGCTATTGCCACCGTGCTGGGGAGCAGACGCAGCTGCGGCTGCCCTCGCGCCTGGGCTGCTCACACGGCCGCTCCCATCCCTCTGGCACGCGGGAGTCTCAGGAGCCAGTGAATTTCCTCTCCTCATCCACCACAAAAGCAAGAAGATACTGTCCTCATTGCACACGTAGGGAACTGAAGCACAGGGGAGATTACAATTTGCCACAGGTCAGCTGGAGAACAASGTGGCAGAGCCTCGCCAAGGTCTAAACTGGAAGGCAGCAGCTGAATGAGGCTCACAAGGAGATAGGCTGATGGGTGATTTAACAGCCTGAGAGCCGCCTCTTCTAACCAACCTCACACTTGTGCTGCAGCTCCRTGACGGGTTCATGCTCATACCCACCCCGGCTGTTGGCAGGAGGAGCAATCCAGCCCTTCTGTAGGTCTTTGGCAGCACAAGTGTTTGTGCGGCTGAATCGTGAACCAGGTTAGAGAACTGATCAGGGCTAAAAATTACTCAGGAAAAAAGTTAGTGTTCAGCTGGGTTGGTTGTTTAGCCATTGCGCAGCTACAT